GATTGCTCCATAACCTTCAATGATTCGACGACCCAAGCCATGTGCTACCATGCCCTAAGCTTGATCTCATGGGGCTGGATTAGATGGACAAACTGAATTTACTGCAAAATCCCGGTTTATTCTGTTTGCAATCTCACGCGTGCTGCATCCAGGGGCGAACTAACTCACTTGAGAGCCTCTTGCATCTCTCTGTGCCCGTATTCGTCGACGGCCTTGTGCGGGTCACAAAAGCGAAAGCCAGAGTGTGCCTTTCCAATGCCAGGTCGAAACGACGCATACCGTATGCTGTCTTGCCCACTGTGGACGATTAACTAGACAATCTACAGAAGGCTGGTATTATCCAACAGATGAATTACTGGACATGAAGAAGGCAGATGAAACCACGCGTCTGTGCGAAGACTTCTCTGGCCTCAGTGCTACACCGGATATCCGTCAGTACCCCGTGCCTCTTTCAGATGACTTGGCCGAGGCTTATTTCTGAAACCTCGGGAGTGGAAATGCTCCCGGGACGCTCCCTCACAGACATTGAGTATGCAGTCGATATTACTTTCCTTGTTTCATATCCTTCTCAAATGCAAACGATTTTAAATAACCTAAATAACTCTGCGACACGGTTTGACATGCTCTTCACACCTGCAAAGTGTAAGGTGCTGCTGCAAGGCTGGGTGGGATCAAACCCACACTTCATGCTTGCAACTGAGCCAATCGACTTGTTAGATGAATTTGTTTACCTAGTCAGCTGTATAAGTTCCAGCGGACTAGATGGAGATGAGATTGTTTCTCGAATCAGAAATACCAGGGCAAATTTTTCCAACCTTCGACACCTATGGTGTCGACGCGACGAGCTTGTCTGTCAAGGGAATAGTTTATACTGCAGTGGTGCGATCCATACGGTTTTGTGGATCAGAGACGTGGCCCCCACAAGCAGAGGACGTACGGAAGATGTCAGTGCTTGCTCATCGGTGTCTCCGCAGCATTGTTTAGGTCTGGTGGGAACATCTGAATATAGCAATGCTGAGGTACGCCAGATGGTCTTAGGAAGAAGGAAGTCTCCTGCGATAGATGGATTACTCGCGCTTCATAGGTTGCGCTGGTACTCCGCATGCCGGAGGGCCATCTGTCTCACAGAGCTCTTTTCTCTTAGCTCTATGCTGAGTGGGAGCGACCGAGAGGTGGACAGTGCATGACCTGGCAACGAAGTACGAAACTAACGAGTGAACTTGGTCGACTGGGCAACTGCCGCCTCCCAGGATAGGGTCCCCTGGACTCAAATCACCAGTGGTTAATGACATTGCCGGAAATGACCCAATTGCGCAGTCAGTGGCGCTCGTGCATCAAAACTATCGCCTTCAATGTGTAGTTACCGAATTTCCGAACAAACTAAACATGCCTTCGCCTCCAAGGCATGGTTGTATGTCCCACTTTCCCGTTTTCCGGCGATCGAAACAGTAGCAGCTGGAACCAATGTGCCTATGGCACGCGGTTTATAGCTGATAAATTGAATTGACCCAACTGCTATTTGGTGTCAAGACAGCGCTAACCATATCTCAACAAATCATGGATACGATGCTGAGGGATGCCGCCGGCGTTGCCTTCTGTCTGGACGATTTCATCGTCATGGGTTCCAAGCCCGACGAAATGTGGCATCGTCCTGATGGCGTTCTCGGTCGTATTCAAGCGTATGGCTTCAGCCTGCGCCGAGGAAAATGCACCGTCATGCGGTCGATAAAGTACCTAGGTTTCATGACCACGACGGCCGACCAGGCTCGGATAATGTCGACACCATTGATCGCATGTTACCGCCCACAGACGTGACATCCCTCGGTCTATCCTTCTACCTGCCACGCATCGCCTCCGAGACCCACGGAACCAGCCAGTCACCAAGTGGACATGTTCAGAAGAATGCCAACGTGCCCATGGCTGTGTCAAATCCATGCTTGGTTTCGATTTGCCTCTCACCCACTACAGTCCGTAACTGGAAATCGCCACAGAGACGTATGCTTTGAACCGTCGTATTCGTGCAGTCGTTTCGCATGTATTTCCCGACACCAACCACCGCATGCAGCCAGATCCGTGGCACCACCCCAGCGCAACTTCAGTCGAACAGAAGTCTTTGATGATTGTGTATTCGGACAAAAAGTTCCACAAAGTGTTCTGTAGCCGTCATTCAACTGACTGATCACAAGCTGGAAAAAGGAATTCCCGTACGTATAGTCATTTTTTCCAGTGATGGGCCACTGCTCCAGGAATGCGATTTCACGATCAAGTACCGGTCCACTATCAGCATCATCGACAGTGTTCAACACAGAGGCCGCGCTGACGTACAACCGTGACTTATTTGGGAGCCGTATTGTGAAGGAAAGAATAAAAGTGGATGGGGGAGACATTTTGTGCCTACACCTCTTGACATTCAGGTAGGCTGGATAGAAACTGACAACAAGAACACCATTGACCCCGATTGGTAACGATATCGTGCAGCGTCTCCAACCAGGCGCGGTGGGGATCTCGCGGTTCTCATGGTAGTCCTTATCATCGTTGATAGCAACACTAGATGAGGACACTGGTGTTTCACTTCCGTACAGGCGATTTGATTGAAATGGAGGTGAAACGTGGAACTAGAAGACAGACGTGAAGCTAGTTCAATGCTCGGTCAGATGTGACCAGAAACGGAAAGGTGCAAATTTCGGCATTTCCAAAACACAGCTGGATGCATGATGGGGTCGTGTTTATGGATAGCTTTACGTCCCTATGTCTGGCAACCAACTGCGTAGGTAGCTTTTCTGCTGGTGACTCGTCACTTGTTGACGATCGTGCAACTCTGTATCGGTCCCTTGGCTTCCTGCTCCGCCTATTATGGTATATCAATAGGCACGTTATCTCTACACGGCCCTTTATGGGGACAAAGGAAAATTATTACAACTGTATTTATAGGGTAGTCACAGAGTGTTCCACACGGTCGTGCTAGAATCTCCGTGAGGGGGCGAGAAGCGTCGAATCAAAGATGCTCGACCTGGATTGGCTGGCATTCTAACCAATCAGGGCATGCCTTCGTTTTGTCATTCGGAGGTTGCTGCTTCATTGTACGGTTGTCAGACGTGGCCCCTGCTAGCAGCGGAGGTTTTCAAGCAATCGATATTCGTTTGCTCGTTATCTTGATGCGAGTGAGTCTGGAACGAGACAGTTAGGAAGTGATTGTTCGGTTGTGCATTAGACTACAATTGGGGAATGGATGCAGCACGCGAAGCTGAAGTGTTGCGCATGCTGAGGGGTTTCCGTTTTTCGTGCCTAAATCGGAGTGGTGCAAGCACTGAGGTGATTAACCTTTGCCATGGTAGACGGGAATGACGGCGACTACAGAAAGTATCGGTGGTATCGGCGTGACTCTGATACTGGTGTGCTGTCCATGATGTTCGTGGAATCCGCTCTGCAAACGTCACTTTCAATATTCAATCCACTATTAATCTAAGAACGAAGCGACGAAAGAAAATTGTTTATTTCAAATTCGTCAGCTTGTACTCTTTGACTCAAGATAGCTCGATAGTCAAGGTGCCAGTCTACGGATCGGAAGGTCCGCGATCCGAAACCAGTCTCAGGAACTCGACTGCTATCTGGGCTTGAGAACCCCGGCAGTATCCCAGCCCCCGTCTCTCTTCCCGTTGACATTGCAGCTAAACACCGAAAGAGTGCTGCTGAATGTTTTTTGTACTCTTTTTGGTCGTATGTTTTACAGCGACACTCCTGACACTGGGCCAATCTTTTTCAGTAGTGTAACTTTTTCGGTAAACAATTTTGCACGCAGCAGAACGCAGTTGTAAAACAATGTTCGCTACAACGGAGTGGAATGTTGCCTTACAATTGTGAGAAACACTACCTTGAAAACAAGTGTTCGTAATCACATTCCCACTCGTCACTTGAGAAGCAAGTTAATGTTTACTCTCATTCTGTGAACTGTTCGGCTGAAGTATTTCTGTTTGAGTACAAGCTTACCCATCCCACACTATCCATCCATTTGGGTAGTGGAATGATACATGCACAAGGCGAGTGGGTTGTGTAGTAAGCCCGTTGAAACAGTTAGATCGGCACGTAAAATAATACGGATTGGAGCAATCATGAATCAACAGGAAGCATTTTTAAGGTGCCGTGATCTCCTATGTTTAAACCCCTGTCTAGGCTTCGGCAACTTGACAGTAACCCCGCCCCCGTGCTTACTCCGGGTGGCCTGGTAGCTAGGCACCAAAAGGGTGTTACAGTTGAATGATTTAATCTTTTAAAATTAATTATTAGACGTCAAGATTACGGCATTGTTGTCATCAGTCGTGGTCGTACAGTGGTCCTAGCTGCCACGATTTCGTTCGCTGATGATCTGGGGAGATGGGGTTGATATAACTGATGCATGAATAAAGGGGTACCAGTGGACCTTTCATTGAGAATCTCGGGTTGGGGTAGCTATGCATTGAAGGTAACAGCTTGGATCCACAAGCGCCATGGAGAACGCGACTGGACCATGTCTGACAGTGTCTCTAACCATTGATGTGTTCCGTCTCTGGGTGCCTATCTAGGGAATCGGCAGTGAACTACCGCTTTCGTCTCAAGAGACCTCACCACAGAAACCGGATGCATCAGATATGTCTTCAGTAGTCGAATAGGTTGCGTAGTGTTTGCCATTCGCATGCGTTTTTTTCCTTCAAATGTCGTTCTCCTGCTACCTGACCTAATGGAACTGTTGGTATTTCGCACCATATTATTCATGTTGCAGGATGATATGGGAGTGAAGGAAAAATATAAAAAGTTAATCGTTCACCTGTAACATTCTTCCGGTGCCTAGCTGCCATGCCACCAGAAGGAAGCACGAGGGCAGGGATACTGTCAGGTTGCCCAAGTCTAGGCAGGGGGAGTCGAGAGGCAGAGGTCGGGCTCAAACCACGGACCTTTCGGTCAGTAAATTCACGCCCCAACCACTGAAGTAAATTTCGTTGGTCACCCTTCTTTATGACGGCATTATGGTACATGTTACTATTCGTTATCGGTTTCTGGATACATTACTGTATGTTGCAACCACATTCTTTTTCCCAGGAGCATATCCGCCAAATCTATCTTCCAATCAGTTCAGAGGAACCAAGAGTAACCCAGGCCAGCAGCGTGGATCCAATGTCGGCGCGGGAGGTAATAATCGCCTTATGCCCCCTGCTGGCAACCCGGGTGGTCCAATGTCCAATCATCATACGCAACAGACCCCATCACATTCGAATCTGAACTATAACCTTATGAATCATCCGGTTCTGGATCACCATCCTTCTTCCCTATCCTCCGGCGGTGCTTTTGACTTTGGCGCTCCTCATATTCCCCAAGCAACACCAGCAGGAATGGTGGCCAGTGCGGCGACCGGTTATCCACACCCCTAGTGATTTCGCTTTCATCAGACTTTTTTGTTCATCTGGACACTGGTGAATGCAGCGGTCTCCCTGGGCCTTGATCGCATTGCGGGAACGGGGATTGTTTCCTCATTTTCCCAGTTGGTGCAGGCTCTTCAAGTTGGATTCGCCCTCACCCATCTCCAAGCTTTCAGAATTTTACTTGTGTCGCTTGTGGTCAGCTTCTCTATGGAGGACAAGGTCCTCTATTCTGGTGCCTATAGTCTTTATACTATTAATATTATTACAGCTCAGTTGCTGATGTCGCCCCCTTTCCAGCCCACGAGTTTGTGACCACTCATTCGCCACACTCTTTAGCCAAATCGATACTCCCCGACCTGATTCTTTGTTTTTTTTTTCCGTTGCTGCTTTCTGACAATCACGGCTGGTGGGGCCGCGGTCCGACGTACGCGTCACCTTTGACCGATTCCCAGCACATTGTGATCTTATCCATTCGCTGTGGTTCAGTCTATATCTTGTGTGGGGCGTCGCCTCTCCTCTCATTTCGTGATCACTCGCTTGTACCGTAGGGGGGATTGTGGTCTCATCTCCCCCTTGTGTCTACACTTACAGGTGAACTGTACAGATAACTGAGTCGTTGCTATTAGCGACTCTTACATGTTCCAATTGCCCTGGGGGACATTATTATGAAATTTCGATAGGCCCCTATTTTCACCATACGCTTACACAGTCATGTTTTCATCTTTGTACAGACATCGAAACCACACAAACACAATCCAAGGTTTTTATTGGGTTGCACAGCTGTCAAATGTTTTTGCCCAGCGTTCGTCATTGTCGGTCTGCCTTTTGGACTATCATCTGACTCTTGTCACGTGTCACCCCATCCGTTGTTATTGTGTTTAAACAGAGCAGAGATGACCCGACTTCCATCGTTTTGGTAGGATGTAAACACTTGGACAGGTGCGTATTTGCTACGGCTTCTACAATATAGCGTCGTTGTTCCGCTTGGTCTCACTGCTGATTTGTTGCCTTAGCTTTTCCTTGTTTTATCGTTGTTATTACAATTATCACTGCTCTTATTATTATTATCATTGTTATTCTCTGAGACTATGCGCGATGCTTTGTCTCTATTTTTCTAGGGACCCGTTCATACACGAAAACACATTCACCTGCATCTGTGTCCAGAACTATTGTCTATTTTGAGTTTTCTCATCGCTTTTTCCATCTGAAAATTCCCCCACTGCTACAAGCAGCACAACCACACGTGCGCTTCTTCCCCTCCCCTTCCTCACGTCGCCCACGTCTTCTTGTTTATAACGCTAGACTTCTTGGTGGTTTTCGCCTGTCGGCAAACACCAAATACCCGCCGTCACTCGTTTTTCCTAAACTTCCTTCATTGACTCGCCCTATCTCACAACCGCCTGTCCCTCGCCTCAAACGCACCCGGATATATTTGTTCGTCGCCTTTAATAATCGCTTTTCCCCACAACGGACATCCCTAAACAATCTGCGTGTTCTACGAACCTGATCACATCTTGCTGGAGAATGCTCCAGCGTAAGTAGCGCGAGTGATCATCGTCGTCAGTAATATGCTCACAGTAAATACTGGTGCATGACTGTTGTACAGCCATGGGAAGAGACCGGATTTCAGATGGAGGACGACAAAATAAGCTGTGCTGCGCCGCCCACATTCTTGTAAAGTATGTAGCGTGGTCCCTCCCGAATAAGGACTTGCCTTTCTAAAACGTCCAGTCCTCACTCCTGCCTACTTTTGTGTTGGGTGGGTGCGCGAAGTACCAAAGCCTTGTCCAAAGGAAGAGTGTCTCCCCGCTGCTCTCCAATGGGAATCGCCTTTGTTCAGAAGTTAGGAAATGCAAACAGTGGAATGACTTAACTTCCGTTTAGCTCTGGCGAGGTAGCCTTTTAGGAGACCAAGCTCAAGCGCGTTGTGCGTTATCCCCAACGAAAGAATAGTCTACAATAGAGCAAATCGCGAAATCACGTTATTCCGGTTCTTTCAGTTAACGATAGAAGAAGTTCAATTGCCAGAAGAGCTTTGTTTTGCGGCCGACAGTCCAGCTGATCATGCAGTGAGCTTTCCTCTTCCCCAACAGTCAGGTGACCATTGGGTCAACAAAAACGACGCACAAATTAGTCAGTCTAAGGATGTTTAAGGTAATCACTGCGAAATAACAAATATGTTGGACTTTTCAATTTATCTCTTCTGGATTTACATCCGCAGTCCACTTGCCTCTCGGTCACCGTAGTCACAGTGGTAAACATAAAGCCTTTCCCTGCCTAGGAATGCCATTAGGCCACATGATATCGCGCAAGCCTAACCCGTTCTCTGGGACTTCACTGCAGTTAAGCTGTACTTGATCATGTTTCCGTGTAAACCAATAGCTCCACATTCATATCCTTTATCCATTAGGATGTTTTTGTGATAATCGATTGTCCTGATAATTAAGGCGTCACAAACGAAGGTGCCGAGTCAGGCTAGTTTGATTACGTTCACTGTGCATACTCGAATATGGCCGGAGGCTAACCCTCTTTGGATTGCGTTCGACTGCGGGGTGGTGACCGGCTAATATACGAACGCTGATGTATCAGTGAATTTGTATACCGTCGTTTCTATGGTAATAAATTCGAGGGCGGTCAGTCAAGGAAAAAACAGAACAGCAGACATTTTAGGAGCACAGTAAAAACCGCGTTGAATCAGATTTCGGAGAAACTGACGTTTGTGACCCCAGTGGTGTTCCATACTGTGCTCTCCACTTCGAATCAACTTCGGAAAAAAATTTGCAAGAGCCGCCCTACGACTGGGCAACCCCAGTGAAAAGTGTCTTCATTCACGCAGGTACTTTGCGATCTTCGCATCTATCTAACGTGGTCACGTGTTTCTCCCTCAGTGCGACAGCTGATCATGTTAAGCCTGCTGTTACTCATCCGGATTCCTGCTAAAGTCTGTCGTTCGGGTGAGGTTTGCCGGTCACCTCTTGCTCCGACGTGATGTTCAGTGCCTTTTACAGGCGTACGCAGTTCCAGTGTAGAGCGGGGAGTTCCTTTCTCCCAAGTCCTTATTTTCATAAGCCTTTTAACGACTAATTCGTGCATGGCAGTCAAGCACCAATATTTACTCCTAGTTACTTGCTTTTCATTATGATGACAGCTATCTAGGAAAACCCTATGCAAAACGAGGCAGTGCATGTACGGCAGACGGACTTTGATGCTATCTTACCCGCGCAATATACGAACGCGCAGCTGCGGATAAGGAAGGAGGCAACCTCGTTGTTCATTGATAATAAACCAACGTCTATGGGATATTTTAAGATCGAAGAGTATCTTATTGGCCACACTTGTTCATCTGTTTGTCGGAATTCGGCGCAGAATAATGGCAGGCACAACTTCCACATGGATCATATCATTTCCTCCGCGCTATCTTGAACCTACGTCTGCTGCTGCCCAGGCACTTCCGTCGGTGGTGTTTTACGTCCGAGTGCAGTGTGATCCAATATAGTAGTCAGTAAAACTACGTTGATGTACTTTTGAGAACAGCAGGCGGTGAAATTAGCCCATGCGTGAGCATTCAAACGGTGCAACCTGTGCGTGAAACAGAAAAACAATTGTACATCTATTTCCGCTGCTGGTTCCACTATCCGTTTTACTGGTGGCTACAGATTCGTCCCCAACTATGCCCTAGGAGACCCGTTTGTGGATGTAGAAATTCGCCTTCATTTAGCCACATTACCGTCAGATTCGTCCCCAACTATGCCCTAGGAGACCCGTTTGTGGATGTAGAAATCCGCTTCATTTAGCCCACATTACCGGTTGAGGGTCTTTCCACCTGCATATGCAAAAGCCCTAATTTTCTTGCAAGAACCGTGACACGGGATGCCGATGTGCTGCCGCATTTCAACACTAACAACATGCGGCACACCTTAGGTCGGCTTCATGTAATCCGAGTGTAACGGACCTGACGAGAGTGTGGTGAGTACTTCTAGACCAGATGATTTTGTGGCTTTTGTAAACGTTGAGGAAAAGTTGAAACTCAGAGAGCTGAAGCGATGGAGTTGATCTAGACGTCTTTTGACGAACTGTGAGAATATTTCGAATCCCAAGATTCGATTTAATCAATACCGATATTGTTTCGGGTGTCAGCTATCCACGTGCGAGCTATTGGTAACCAGGATCAACAGTTTTGAAATCGGCAGTACTGAGCTGACTTCTGAGAACCAAATTGACCACAAGAGTGAGACAACGTTCGCATCCCAAACCAACCTAGGCAATGGCGTCCGAACAGCTGGTTACGAAAAAGTACAGACACCGTCCTCGTCTTCGAAAAAAAAATGGAGGCACATGTGTTCATTGTTTGACAAAATGATCAAAGCTACCCCGTTCTTTAACATACGCTTTTCACCCACAGATTTTAAGGTCACGTTTCTGGACATGCACCCACTGAACGCGCCATTTACAATCTAATGGGGAACACTCGAAGTAGTGGGGCCTTTTATCTATACACGAAATTGTATTATTTCCGATTGTGTTGGGCGAAATCGCACAACAAAACCGTTCGTAGTTGGCCGCTGCTACGGCCAGGTGGCCTAACACGCACGCGATTGGCCACAAGATCGGGCTGCTTGCCAGTACAGCACCAGGGCAAGCCCCGATTGGCCGGAAGGCTGGCCCAACAGCCAATCATGATTCAGTGTTCGCTGAATTCAGGTTACCGATACCGCGTCTAGAGGGCATCAGAATTTCCAGAATGTCGTCACACCATACTTCGAACTCGACGCGCTCTAGGCCTTTTGACTTGATTTAATATTATATGTGAAATTTTGGTGTTTCCCTTGCTGAAAACCCTGACTTGGAAGGTTCAGACCGAGAGGTAACTGAAGCGCCACCATCACTACAGACATACCAGGCGAACACACGAAGCTGTAAGGCTCGTATCTCATCCGCTATCTCGAGGCACCTATGGCGACAGGGCGGTATATCCACGAGTCTTAAGTGACACGTGTATTAGGCTACATTAGAGGCTACTTTGTTGTATGATCGAGAGACATGGTCCCTGCATCAGCGGAACTGGGACGTCTTCAGGGCCTCGATAATCGTTCTCTCGGAAGCAAAGCTTCTGCGGGCTGTTGCTGTAGTGACCGCAAGGAGACGATTAGGAAGCTATTGTTCGATTGTGCAGAAGACTTCAGTAGGTGAGCGGACCCAATACCCGAAGCCACAGTGGTTAGATCATGCATTGAGCATGCTGGGTGACTTCCAGACTGTCTGGAGGTATAGATAACCTGAATGATGGTTGTAGATTAACACTAAATCACTTCCCCATCCACTTTTATTCTTTGCTTCACACTAAAGCTTTTGAATAAATTATGGTTTTACGGCTTCGCCTCGTCAGAGATGATCACTGATTTTGTACTGTCGATGATGATGATGATGTTGGTGATGGAAATGGACCAAAAGTTTCGGACACCCGGCCTTTATGGGACATTTTGGTAGAATGCAGTCTTGGGAATGACGTTAAGCGGATAGCGGAGAGGACTGTGTTCCAAGAATTTATAAATTTACTCGCCTCTATTTTGACCAGTTCTCAGCCATGGTTTTTACTCATTTAACGATAAATTTGGGGGCGAGGCCGTGATATTTACCCAGAAGCTCAAGAGGAAGGCTATCTCTTGTGAACGAGTCAGGTGTATCAACTATCTGGCTTTCCAACCTACGGTCTCTGATTGGTGTGTTGAAACGTTAGAATCCGTTCTGGCCATAGAATTAACGATTTGATTTTCAGGTGAGGATTCAAGGGTGATAACACGAAACGGCGAGAAGTGTGTCGTCCCACCGTCACCATCGCTTTTGACCAAAGTTTCAATGCTGACTCAACGCATGTTAGGCCAGAATGTCAGCAAAGTGGATTGCAGAGGCCAAGGATGGCATGAACAGATAAATAACTGGAACGGAAGAACGTCCAACGTACTCGTCCAGCGAAGACAATCAATAGCATCGAAATGCCGACAGTGGTCGTGTTACTGCTCAATGCTTCCTACTGCCAGTTCACATGGCATGGAACACATATCATTGACGATTGTATCCGAATGAAAAGTCCAAACTAGGGTGAGCAATACTAATGTATGGGACTAGGTACCACATCACTGCGCGGTTTTTTTTACTCTAAGTGTAGTGTATATGCCAAACGTTCGACAGTGATCATGGCACGACATTCACAAGCACTCGTAGCTTCTTGATATCAAGCCAAATTGACGACCGAACCGGGTACCCGGCTGAAATAAGCCTCGAGTTGTTACCAGACCATTGGTCGAGGTGTAGAGGACTGAGGAAACCGGATTTTCCCTAGGATTACAACAAAATCAGTTGACCAGCATTGCGCAGACCGACCGCCGAAAAATCTGTGGCGTAACAACGTCCTTGAGGCAGAAGACTATTCAGCTCCACCTACACCTTTTTGCTCCAGATAATGTGGTAGGTCGTCCGCCGACCAAGTAGATAAACCCGCACCTCTTCCCCTAAAAGATTGAATGGGCGTCGTTATTCGCAGATGAATTGGATCATCAGCTAGTGGCGGATTATCAGAGCATACAATCGGCTGTGGAACAAATACTAACCAGGACACCCATAGGTGCTTTGTTGTGCAATCTCCCGCGTCAGTGTAATAGATCAGGTAGATGTGTCTGGACCTATAAACTTCGTGTGCATTGCAATCCAATGTTCATTTGATACTTAGTATTTGGAGAGTGGCTTTAGTGCTCGAAAGTGTTCTCTGTGTGAATTGGGACATGCCAGTCCACTGTTCAGTGATCAG